TGTGTCACCGTAGTGATTGACGTTTCGCGAAGTACAATTTCTGCGTACAACGTCTTTTTCTTCTCTCCATCAATGATGAATAGGAAATGAAAAGACGATTGGCATGCGTTTTTCAACAGCTTATGATTATCTAGACATTGTTAGCGTAGTACATTATTAGCGGATACGCTCAATATAGTATCTGAATATAGGAGTTCGGAAAATATCAACTGAATCTTGAGGGAAACTCGACATCCACGATGCAAAATCACAGTGGAGAGATGCAATCAGTCATAAAATATTATTACGATATTAACAAGATCTTCATGTCGAAACTTAGTTCTTGGCCGATGCAAAGTTTATTCGAGAAGACAATGTCCAGCCATATTTACAATGTTTGCCAGTATCGGTTTTCTTGAAGTAAATTTCCATCATTTTTTATAGTAGTATGTAACTTTGTAAAGAAGCATACCAGGTGTACAAGTATGAAATGACGATTTTTTTCCCAAAAAAAACACTTTAAATTCGGAAGAATGATAAAAAGAGATTTATTCAAAGTATGCTCCATTGCTAGTTACACATTTTTCCCATTTTTCGGGCAATTTGTGGATACCACGCCAATAAAAATCTTCCCCTTTTGCCGCGAACCATTCATCGAACCATTTTTTCACATCTTCGTACGAACCAAAGCGCTGCTCAGCAAGTGTGTGACTCATCGATGCAAACAAGTGGTAATCAGAAGGAGTCAAGTCTGGTAAGTAAGCCGCACAGGGTAGAACCCAGCTGAGTGCTTCCAACGTGTCCCGAACGGTTTTGCCGTATATGATGGAGCATTGTCATGGAGAAAAATGACCTTATATTGCCTCTTTTGGTATTCAGGTCGTTTTTTAAGCAGTGAACGGTTCAAATCGATCAATTGTTGATAACATTTAGTATTAACCATTTCGCCAGGCTTCAATAGGTCATAATAGATCCTTCTGATCCCACCAAACACAGAGCATCGTCTTCCTGCCAAAGCGATTCGATCTTGCAGTCGATGTGGATGGTGCGCCTGGGTCTATCCATGATTTTTTGCGCTTGGGGTTCTCAAAAAAAATCCACTTTTTATCCCCAGTAACGATACGATGCAAGAATGACTTTCTTCTGTATCGTTCGAGCAAAATTTCACATGTGTTTTTGCGCCTCTCCATCTATCTCTCGTTCAATTCATGTGGCACCCATCTGCCGACTTTCTGAATCTTTCCCATCTCGTAGGCGATTGGAAACAGCTTGTTGACTAACGCTCAATTGCTTTGCGAGTTGTTTTTGTGTTTGTGAATCATCTTTATCCCATTGCTTGCAATTCCACATCTTCGTACTTTTTGAGCGGTTTTCCATGTTCCTTGTCTGCAACATCGAAATCTCCTTTTGAAATGCTGAAACCATCATTCACACGTTTTTTGCGATGGAGCATGTTCACCATAAGCTTCTCCAAATAATCAGTATGATTCCGCAGCAGTTTTCTTCAAATGAAAACAAAAAATTAATGCTGTCCGCGAATTCTCCTTATTTGATACAAATTTCGTTCATATTAAACACAGCAACACAATACTATGCAAATATTTTTCAATCAAATCACTTTACGTTTGGCACTTGTTGATGGTACAATAAAATAGCGTATAATGTTAAATCTTTGTACTTCACACTACATTGGTACGCCATCTGTTTCTCAAATCGTCATTTCATACTTGTATACCTGGTAAGTATGACTTTCGCGAAGTAGTTTAAATTTTTTAAGATACCGATTCTGAAAAAATTCTTAGAGTTTTATGAGAAAAAAATAAATGATTTTTGTTTCTTGCAATTTTTTTTGTAAAGTTGATAGTATTTGAATACAAAATTATTTAAGACCAATATTTGGCAATTTTTAGTAATTAATATCTGTTAACTATTGCGAAAATTGCAAAATGGTAGAGGAGACTTTTCGACCCAGTTTATCTACTCCAGTCCACTCTATCTACACAAAAGCGATTGGCAAAAACTTTTGGGACACCTTGTGCACGCGCGCGCGCGTCTTTTTATTCTAAGTAAAAAAGTTTTTCTTAACAATTTTTTGAAACAATGAGACATAAAACTTGATATCACAAGCAATAATATGAAATTTGTCTGAATATGGCTTCCGGTATTCGTTTTTAAGAAATTATTGAGTAAAATAAGTAACAAAGTAAGTAAAGTCGTTATTTTTTCGACCGGCGGCAGTAGCGAAGACGCGAGGCATTTTATATTGTATAAAAAAACTTGTATAAATAAATTAATACTTATGGAATTATCTTATACTATATAAAAGTGAAATCAATTTTCATAACAATAATGGTGAGCACTAAAAAAATGTGCTCATTAGGTTGTACACAACTGCAGTCGCAAAATGTCCTTAAGACGATGCATGCTGATGATTAAAAATCGTTTCATATTTTTTTTAATCCGTAATTTAACCATTTTCAGATAATTACTTTTATGAATAAAAAAGCAGAATTGACATACATAGCAATGTAATAGGTAGCTTCATACACTTTTTCGTTTTAAATTAAAGCCAAGAAATAATGGACCATAGCGCAGATATATTTTATAAAGCGTAAATATATCATATCAAAGTTATTTGTGATGTAGAAAAAATAGAACACATAGATTTTTCGGGAAAAAATATCTAAAATTTTCTTCTTTATAAAGTTGTAATGCAAAAGAGAATAAACTTATTCTCTGTTTATTTCTTGATATTTTGTAATTTTCTTTAATAATATTTTATTTCTTATCTTTATCGTTTTTTTCTCTTCAAATTTTAAATATTTTATTTCAACATTAAATTTCTTACAATGAAATTTCCCTTCAAGTGAATGAAAATACATCCTTGAAAAAAAGTGAAAATATTGCACTTCTTGAAAAAGACAAGAATTTTCATTTTAAAAGAGGATTTCTTACAGTGAAATCTCCAAAAAATGACATTTTACTCCTTTAAAGTGAAAATTATTACTTTTTCAAGAAGTGAAGGATGATTGTATTTTCACTTTCTTGGAATGAAATTTCATTGCAAGAAATTTAGAATGAATACATATTAAAAAATAATTTATTTGCAGAAATAAAATATTATATATTGAATTAATTATTTTTAGATAACAATATGCTACAGAACATCGCGAAGAACGACACAGCTATTGAGCTATTGATACTATTGTATATTATTTCGTAGGAGTTTTGTGCTTTGTACATTAACTGCTGGCAATATGTATGTGATGTCATTGCAGAATTATGTTTCGGTAAGAATGATTCTACAGCATTTACAATATAATAGAAATACTTAATCAGTTTGAATTTTTAAGGTGATGCAAGCATCTACCTTATTGTATTTCATTCTTTTATCATTCAAGTAGTTGATTAAAAGAAAAAGCTAGCGATTGTGTTGGAATTGAAAAATGAAAAATTAAGTTTAAAAATATTATCATTGTTATGCAATAAAATTACTTTTATATGTTTACCAAAAATCACTTAAAATTTAAGAAATTTTTAATAGTAAACATATAAAAATAATTTTATTGCGTAATAATGATAAATGAAAATCAAAAATTGAAAAGTTGGATATGAAAAAATATATTGTAGATTTATTTTTCTGTCTGTAGATTAATAAAAATTCAAAGTTAGTTATTTAGTATTAATATTTTAATTTCTTATACCCACTACTTTTTTATTGAAGTTCGATCTATTAAACCAAATTCAATTCGTTAAAAAATTATTAAGTTGTTTATATGGATGTAATTTGTAGAAAAATTCATATGTGTTTCTTGACAATTTCCTTCTGATTTCACTTAAGAAGGCAGAAATTAAGAATCTTTTAATGAGAATCTTTTCAAATTTTTTTCTAAGTTTTTTAATCTACAAATTTAATAGCAGAAATAATGATAGAAAAAAAATTAATTTGTACATATTAGGTGTGGGAAAAAGTTCGTGGCGTTTTTTTAATGCCATCTAACGGGAAAAACGCCGTGAACTTTTTCCCACGCCTAATATAATAATAAACGAGAACTCTATTTATTAATTAACAACGGTTAATGACAATGAAATAAGAAGACGAAAATAGATATTGCGTGTATGTGAGAAATTGTACTTCAATCCTCATACTCAGAAAATACATAAAGAATAATTAAAACAACTAAGACGTAAAAAAAGTTAACAAAATTTCAGAAGATTATTATAAGATTATAGAAGATTATAGAAAGAGATTCATCGCGTGAATGAGCAGTAAATACAAAAATAAATTATTACATTTTTCAAACATCGGCAATATTAAAATAACTGCATATAACTACGTAATAAATAATTATTTGCCTGAAACAACTACTAAAAAAAGAAGCAAAAAAACATTTAGTTTTCCCTATTATCGACCGAGTGTCGTTCAAGCATATAAAACATTAGTAATAACATTAGTAATAAAATATTAGTAATAAAACATTAGTAATAAAAAACCAAATTAATTATTCAATTATATAAATGAAAATAGCGAAGAATTCAAAATTTTCTACGCTTATTAGTGACATATACGGAAGCAATAAGCTTTTCTTTTTAATCGATTTTAATCAATTAAATTTTGGACTATGTTTTGATAAACAAATATGATACTGATTTAATTAAATAAGTTTTTAGATATTCAATTTGTTGTCTATTTTATTCTATTCCAATTATAAAATTTATACAATGAGGAAGGAATTATTCAGAATTCTTCAATTTAGTTCATCACACTAAAATCTGTTACAATTTCTTATAGCATACAATAAATAAATTTTCCATCGAAATATAGTCGTCAATCCAATATCTTCTGGACATTACTTTTCTGAAGCAAATTTAATATATAAAGATATAGCATGATTCGAATTTTTAAAAATGATTTTTTATATGTATATTTTATAAATAATATATATATTTATATTTTAAATCAATAGTTAATACTGTGTACAAATGAAACATGTAGATAAAAATATAAATTAATAGGTCGCTGTACTTATCTGATAATGAATATTAAATCAAATTATAATTATTTAATTGTAGCATTTTCGTTATCGAATATCAAATACAGAAATATTAAATGATACTGCATTATTATCATTTAGACATATTTTAAAACGTAGTTTTACATATCAAAACATTTATGCAGATATAAGTGCAGAATGATATTCATTGTCAACTGTATATTTCCGATAGTGTGTACATATCGAGAAAAAGAACAGATTTTTAGTTGAAGCATTTCACTGCATTAGCATGAATCCCAAACATTCGGCGAATCAAGAGCTTGCTGTCAACGTTGTGGTGCTGCTTTTGGTTTTGGCATTTTAGCTAATATTGCTGGCATCTCGTTTTTCTCGTCATATTTTTTCCACAATTCATATAAATTTATTATATACCGTGCTATTTCTTGAATTTTTTCCATATCTGCATTTAATTCTGCGAACCACGATTTGAGATCTTTTTGTAATATCACGCAAGCTATTTGTAAACAGCCTGTAAAAAAAGATATAAATTGTCATTAAATTTTCTTGTAATGCTATACTTAGACCATTAAGAACAAAACAATTATCTTACCAATAGCTATTTGATAAGGTGGATATAACAAACATACGTCTGTTCTCAGACTATCATTAATAATACGCCACGCAAGCATAAGTAGCTGATCATCTGGTCCTACATCTTGAATTAATGTTAACAAGGGACGGTATGGTTGATATACTATTAAACAACAGTCCAAATGTTCCAAAAGATAAAACTCACACTCCAAGATATGATTTGTGCGATATGGAAATTCTTGCGAATATGCGTAACTAAATTTGTTCTTAACTATAAAAAAAAATAACATTAATTAAAGAACTATTTAATTACATACATATTAATCCCTCAATGAACTGTAACAAGATATAATATATCATGGAACTTACTTACATTTCCCATTGTTGATATCAGTCTACTATTAGAAATTACTCCAAACTCTTCTACTTTCGATGCCAGAAAGACAGTAGTAGGAGCTAATAATAGAGGGTCTATACATTTTAAGCTATTGCGAGCATAAAATCTTTTAAAATATACTGTCGCAGTAGCTACCACTTGTTGCCTCAATTTTAACTGTTCACCTATCATCTGTATCACTAGTGACAGGATTTATATACAGATGTAATTACAGATTATATTACATATAAAATATGCTTGTACATAGTAATGGTGTGACAAAATGTACAAACTTCTTAACAGTCAATTACAGTTTAGTAAATGTTAAATCCTTGCTTTAATGAATTTATATTAATGAATTTGTATTAATAATTGACGATTGAAATAAGTATATTGAACTATTTAATATTTTCCGTTAACAAATATAAAGAACAAAGCAGAGTTTTGTCAGATGAAACTATACACTTTTTATATATCTTATAAGTATTTATATATTAAATGTATATTTTATTTAACATCAGATCTTATAATATATGAGAATTGACAATCTATCAACAATGTTAATAGAAAGATAGATAAAAGGTGCTCTATCGATTAACAGATATACTTTAGAACAAATTTGTAAATCTTCATCAGATGTGAAAAGATTATTTCAACTTACTGCTAGAAAAGAAAATAAATATTTTCTGATATTCCTCTTCCGTTAGTACCGATAAATCATGTTGACGTTCTCTGATTAAGTCCTGTTTATCCAGTAACCATTGTTGACTATCGAAAACAGAAAACCTCGTAAAAACTGAAATTCGTTTGTTGAGATTTTATTGTGATTTTCAAACTTACTGATGCGAGCTCTGCCAAAAATTCCCGGCCATTCTATAACTAAATTATCTGCCTGGGAAAACTTTGAGGCGCGTTGGATGGTGCTAATCGTGCTAATTGTTCAAATCCTGTTATGCTGAATGCATGTAATAGTGTTTCTCAGATTTCTCACAAATCAACTCTGTATTTGCGCGAAATACAAACGGGCCGAATACTTTTTTTCTATACAAATTATATCGAAAGAAAAATCTTCGCTATTTTATACGCACAAGTACATGTCTGCAAATCTACTTTGATTCCCCCAGAAAAGGAGGGTAACCCGGCTGATCTGGTAGCAGTGGCAGCTGACTTCTTGTGGAGAGGGGAGCATCCCGTTTGACGACGTTGCAATTGGCCACAGCTATCGCCAGTGCTTGAAGTTTTTCTGCTGGCTCAACAAATCAGAAGATCGGAATGGTCAATTGGCGATGTGATAACATCACATCATGAAAGCCCAAGACACAGTGCGAGGGAATAGCGATAGCGATAGAAATAACACGATTCAACCTATCAGAAACTATTCCGATATATCCAATTTTTGATAGGTTGAAATCATGTTATTCCTATCGCTATCGCTATTCCCTCGCATTGTGTCTTGGGCTGAAGAATCCTACGGCCAAACACATAATGGGAAGATCCCACAATTAATCACATTGCACAATTGAACTATTCACAACAATAGCCGATTGAAGTTTATTTATTGATGTGGGCGTAAATAAGGGGAACAGGGGTAGTGTTTACCTTCTTTTGACAAGGAAAAATAATTAAATTATGAAAATCATTTTTGTAACAAAAAGTTAAATTCTCATTGCCTAATGCATTATTTGTAAGAAAGTTCGCTGAAAATTCTTGAAAATTGCCCTTGATATAAGTATTTTAGGCTACGTTTCAAAACTTCTTCCGAGGAAAATTTTACTCGAAATATATAATACACGTATACTGTAGCATATAGAGTAAAATCTTTCTCGGAGAGGAAGTTTTGGAACGTAGCCCTCATAATTAATTTTGTGTAAAGATAAATTTTTTGCCCTTCCCTTCCTCTTGGATTCATTACATTTTGGTTGCGTTCAGTGGACTCAACAATTGACTAAACGCTTATTGGTGTATTCTTTTAGATCATCCAATCAGCATTTTAGATGTGGAAGAATACATCAATAGCAGCGAGCGCTTACTCAACTGAGTCTGAGTTGAGTCTACTGAACACAGCCAGGAGTTCAAAATAGCAAAGCGACTGTGTATCAAGTGATTGAATTTGATTGATTGGATTTATAAGTAACAACCAATCATGTTCATTTGTTCGGCGAACAAGCTTGCCGTTTTGTCAATTTGAACGCGCCCATTAATCCAATCAGAAGATCCTCCATTAAATTAGCTAATTAACTAACATGACAATCGAGAATTCTAATCGCTTTAACATTTCAAGAAATTGTATGTTTAATATGTAATGTGCTTATTCTTAATATAAATTTACAATTTAAATGTAATACACAAATAAGTTATCTAATTTATTTATATTGCTGTATTGCACTAATTATCTCAATGATTTCAATTAAAAACAAAATATATTTTCATGTTTTGACAATTATTATAAAAACAATTAAAACAAAATCTGTTTAAATTTACAGATCAGAGATAACAAATTATGTATTTCGAAATGTTGTCTTATGCTCATATTAGATTGTGGATTAACAATTTCGCGACTGATTGGTTCTCTATTTCAGCCAATCACAATGCAGCGAGTCAATTCTGTTTCTTAAATTAATCATCAATTAAATTAATTGGAGTTTGAGCAATCAAAAAATAGATTGCAAACAAAACGGTTTCTTTTTCAATAAGTTCTAAAATCGTTATTGAACATTTACCATGAAGTATCATCATTACCGACTGTTTATCGGACATACAAGACGTAATGTAAATTTCTCCAAAAGAGATTCTTACTTATATCAGAGAGAAACTTGTGAGAAAGTGGATATCCCCGTCTTTTTTCTATCAAACATCGTAAAGTAGTGTCTACGTTTTTTTGATTCTTTTCCATATTATTATATAGATTAGACAATGAACAATTATATAATAACATAAATAATCAACTTTAATCATTCGTTTTTATCTCAATATATATAGTAATAGCATGAAAAAGAACCACGAAAATGTGGACACTACTCTATGAGGTTTGGTATACGAAAAAGGCCGGGATGTCCCTCTCAGATTTCTCTCTGCTTATATTTACTGTACTAGCTTATTCTCTTAAGTAATTTTGCGGCTTATAATATAAAATAATAAACAATAAAACTTCAAACTTTTTATATTATAAGTGACGATGATTAGATTTTGAGCAAATTAATAGATAATGAGAATAAAAACTTATAAATAATGTTCAAAATATATTAGAATAAATTATCATCAGTTGGATAATAATGATAAATGCAAAATTCAATAATAACTTATTCAGCAGAGTGATGTGAAAAACTTCATAATGATGTCTATTTTGTTTTAAACGTCACTATATCAGAGAGCACAAAGTCGTCTAAAAGATAACTAAAAGACAATTAAATTGTTATAAAGGTATCTTTTAGTGAAAGAATATAGTTGACGAAAAGATGATTAAAAGATGACAGATGTCGCACTGCTAGTCCTCTTATAGTACAACTAAATCTTGATCTCCATCTTATCCATATAAAGATGATTTCTTTGGATATCTTTTAGTCATCTTTAATATTTCTTTTGGTTTTTATATTTTGATACATATAACATTTAATACATCCGAATTCCTAAATTAATTTTTACACAAAACGAATTAAAATTGCATGACTGACAATATACATCCCATTTCCTGCAATGTTTACCGTGTCCTATGCAAGTGCACCGACGAGATACTATTAAAGACCGACATCCTTACGGGAATTCGCGTCTTTGCGATTATTAAAGTGATTAAGAATTAAAAATTGATAATATTGTATTAATTTTATGATTTATTAGTTTAGTAAACGTAATTATGCATTTATAACTCAATAATACTTGATTTTTCTTTAAAATTGTGATTTCAGTATTATCATTAAAGTTTGATGATTATCAACAAAGATGATAATCGCAGAGAAAAAACTGTAATTTTTCTGCAATATATAGAATATTATAGCTTTACAAGTATGCATATTTATTTATGGAACATTTATGTAATAAAAAAATCATGAATTCAATTATCTCTGAGCCCTTGGGACCCTTTTTATATCGCCGAAAATTTGCAGGATTGATGGTGCTTAATAGTATCTCGTCGATGGTAAGAATCTTTCATCATAGTCTCCTTCGGAGACTCGATCGACAATAAGATATTTTATTAGCATTCATTAGAACACGAATAAAATTTCTCATAATGCTGTACCTTTTATTCTATTCTGTATGATTTTCAAACACGAGAAACTGAACTCCATCACGTCCATCTAGTGGCGATCTCGCGTATTGCTCGAATGAATGATAAAAAGTAATACCTAATCAAAATAACGGAAAGATATCTTTTTCACATTATCTTTTCGGCAATATGAAAAGATATCTTTTAGTCGACTTTTTACTTTGCGAAAATAACAACCATAGAAAGATGACGAAAAGATATCTTTTTTAAATTATCTTTTCGACAAGACTAAAAGATGTCTTATAGATATCTTTTGATCTTGTTAAAAAGACGATCTAAAAACAATATCTTTTCGTCATCTTTTAGACATCTTTTCACTTTATCGGAAAAACAACTTAAAAAAGCCTTCTTTTCGTTATCTTTTAATATTTTGTATTTTCTGGGTAGATAACACTCTATCATTACTTTGCTAAGCTAATTGAGATAAATTATCACAATAAAAAATAAATATATTCTGAATATCAAAAGATATGTTTATTTAATCAAATGTAAAAGATATTTTAAAAATGCGTAACATTTATTACACTATTTACATTATTTTTATATTACTTTTAGATTCAATATGTTAAATAGATATCTACATGGATTTTTAATCATCCGAAGTAATAAAATTTAAATAATGTCAATTCAAAAAATTTATACATAACAATAAATTTGAAGCATTTTTATAACACTAAATTAAAAAAATTATGACTAAGACACATTAATCTCTTAGTTTCTTTTTATTTCTCAATATATCTTTGTTAGTTGTATTAATAATAATTGTACTTTTTTTCAAATGTAGATTCTTCATTACATTACGTCACATACCTTTTTAATTTTTAAAAAGTAGGCGCTTGAATCATCTTCCTTCTCGGTAAAAATGTTTTATCTTTATTTATATTTTACTTCATCTTTAATAAGATTTTCAATTTGTTCTGCTTCTCACGAATTGACACGTGTCGGTACAATCTATTACAGTAGATCACGATAGACGCGCAGATCGAATCGTAATAGCATTCGGGATAAAACACTTGAAAGTAAAAAAAATAAATTATTCATCAGTCAGATTTTTATACGACAGCACGTGTCGCTCCTCGTGTTATAAGCGAACCGCAGCCCCTTCGTGAAAGCTATCATTTATTTGGTTCATATCGTGTGGTTTTCATGTCGCTCAACTTTCCTGTTATGCTTATCGTGTATTTATCAGCGTGACACAACTCACATTCAAAATCGTACGATGTTATGAGAAGAAAAGCAAAAAAATATAGTATTCTTAACGCATTGCGAATTTAGGAGAGGAAATATATAGACAAGTATTGTCTGTCACCGCGGTGATTGACATTTCGCGAAGTATAATCTCTGTAACTTCTTTTTTTTTATCGCTCCGGCAATGAGTGGAATAAAAAATAAAGGAGCGCGACACGCGTTTCTCGACAACCCGTGATTACCAAACAGACAACGTTACTTCGCAATACCGTAACATGTTATTATAGTGAATACGCGCAATGTGATACTTATGTTATAGGGGATGTCTGGAAAATGTCTGAATCTTGAGGGAGAATCGACAGCCGCGCAACAATCAAGCATCTCGGGGAGATGCAGTCGGCGGTGAAACATTATTACAATATTAATAAGATCCTCTTATCGAAACTTGGCGGTTGGCCAACGCAAAGTAAATTCATGAAGATATTGTTGCCGACCATAATAATGTCTTTTGTTTTCAGCATCGGTTTTCTTGAGGTAAATTTCTGCCGTTCTTCATGTTGTCGGTGTAAAACTATGTGTGTCAGTGTAAAAAACTGTTGCGTGAATAAAATTTGTAAAAGGAAGAGAGAAAGAAAGAGAGAGAGAGAGAGAGAGAGAGAGAGAGAGAGAGAGAGAGGAAGAGAAAAGAAAAGAGAGAAGAGAGAGTATCTCCATGTGGTTAATATATGTGTAGTGTATTTTAGATGTGATTGGAGAAACATATAGCATCAATTTCGAAATCGCCTTTCTAAATTTTTTAACACAATAAAATATTTTAAATATTACCTTTTTGCAAAAAAACTTGAATGTGTATGTGTGTACGCGTGCGCTGTGTGTGTGTGTGTGTGTGTATGTGTGTTACTCATATCAATTAAATATACTAAAGCAATTCAATCAATAAAATTATGCGGCTGACCTCTAATTGTGCCGCAAGTAATTTTAAATTATCACTTTTTAACGTATCACAAATAATTACGAAAACGAAAACTTGAAAGACGACTTTAAATAAAACTTTTTCAAGTTTTAAATAACTTTTTTGAGAGAGCTTATCTAATTAATTAAACACAATCTTAGGGTTTAATTTAAAAAAATTTCATGTTTATTATAAAAAGGAAAAGTAATAAAAAATTAACGCTTTCCATTCTGCATATAACTTACATAGTTCTTAATGCAGGTAAGTGGAAATTCTAGAGACGCGCAAAGGTGTCCACAATTATTATCATCGATTTTCAGTTTGTAAGACTGTCTGAAACATGGCAAACCATAACCGAGGACTGTGAATGCTTCATTGTAATGTTAATTACATTTGGCGCTTACTGTAAATTGTTTACCATAGTTTTTAAAAATAAAAATGTAAGATTTCGCGAGTTCTTCTTTTGCTTAAGCTCTTAAAAATTATAAGACGCGGATTATATCCTTCGTTTTGCATTGTTTCTTAGATAGAACACCTGTTGTCGCTCATCGATTATCACTGGCGCATTTTTACGCATTCTTTGGAGATACAAATTATGCACGAATATGCTATTGTAGGAAGGAAAATAACGATAAGTTACGCCGGTAATGATGAAACAAACGCAGGTCGTGCGGCTTTTAACGCCGACTCATCATGATTTATGATTAATGTTTCTCACTATGTATCATTCTAAATTGCACACTGTACATTGTACCTGAATCTAAATAATACGGCTTGATTGTTTATTTGTACGTTTTTACATCGTAATAATAATGCGAGTTGCAGTTATGATTTATTCGTTGATGAGTCTTTACATGCTGATCCCAGTAACACCGCAATTATTGGATCTCTTTATTCCTCTTAATAAATCGCGCTCTTACAAATATCTGTTCGATATCGACTACAGCTTCGACAGAGAAGTGTATTATTATCCTGTATTACTCCACTCATACCTGACAACTGTACTGACTATGAGCCTCATGGTAATAACCGATACGAGCTACATGTCGTTCGCGCAACATGCGTGCAGTCTGTTCGCTGCTATTGGGTATCGTATATCTATACCATTCATTTTCCTTTAATGTAAGAAAACTTTTAATGTAAAAGAAAAATTTGTTTTCTTTCTTAAATATTCACATATCATAGATAAAATTTTGATCATGTTTCAAAGGCACCGACTAGAAAATCTAGTCTCAGAAAGTAATTCAAAGAAAAACAATTATTTTGTTGAGGATGTAATTTGTAATAAGAGCAAATCACGAGATTACGAAGACCAGACTTATCACGAACTGATACTTCTCTTGCGGAAACACCAGTTGAGTATTGAGTGAGTTTTGCATTCTTTTCGGTTTGCATTCTTTTCGGATACCGCAAAATGTTTTGAATCATTCGTTTATGTGTCTTTCAGATATACCCGTTTGTTAAATTCTTTATTTGAAATGTATTCATTTATGTTACTCTTCATTACTATCATCATTATGAGTCTCTTGGGAATTCAAGTGAGCTAATAGCTATGATCAATACATTATCAATTAGAAATGTTTTATGTTACCAATCATTATTCTTGAACAGAGCTAGCCTAAAATTTGTAATTTTAGGCTCTAGCTTGACAGCATTCACGCCTTCCAAGTAGAACGTAGAAGTCATAATATTATCATAAGAACATTATATTAATAGCTTTACTGACGTCATTTATAAGTTCATTTTTTTAGTATCAAATGACGTTACTCATAAAAAAATTTTCATGCATGAATATGTATAAACATACATAAATATTCATAAACATGCGTACGATCGTATATGAAATATGTCCTATATGAAATATGTATCATATATGTTCATAAATCCCTCTTTTGTAAAATTATTTTTTAATATAATAGAAATAATAATACTGATATGAATATAATTAAAAATGATTAAAACAGTAATTTTCATACTATTTGTTTAAAAAAAAAATCAAGCTTGAAGAAATGTAAAAAAACACTTATGTATAATTATATATAAAATTATACAATTGTGTATGAGCAATTTTTTTACATTTTTTTTTTGAACGAACAATGCGAAAATTATCTCTTTAATTATTTTTTATGTTTTCAAGTTATTATTATTATTATTATTTCTATTATACTAAAAAGTAATTTTACAAGAGAAAGAGGGATGTATGAATATGTATAGACATATTTCATATATTGTATATGTTTATGATTATTTTACGTATGTTTATACATATTTATATATACTCATGCATGAACAATTTTTTACCGAACATGATGACGTCTTATGATATTATGACTCAATTATGGCTGTGCATTCTACCTAGATTATTGTTTTATTTGTCATAATGAACAAAAAAGAAAGTAATAGGCACGAACGCCGAGCGTCAAGTCAAAATGACTAATCTTAGACAGCATATATTGAATTTAATTTTTTTAGATAATTTCCTTAATGAATCATAAAGAAGAGATGGTCAGATACGTAGCGATGGTAATAGGTGCTTTCATACATCTTTTCGTTTTGAGTTATCCCGGCCAAAGAATAATGGACCATAGTGCAGATATATTCCACAAAGCGTAAATATGTCGCACCAAAGTTATTCGCGCAATGTGGAAAAATAAAACAAAACTGTGGTAAAATGTAGATAGATTTTTCGGGAAAAAGTATCTAAAATTTCTTGCTTTCTGATCCTCAGTAGCGTAGAAGAATAACTGTTCTATTTATTTCTCAGCTTATTTAAGTATCCTTAAAATTATTTATTTTCTATTTCTTTAAGTCGTTCGTTCTTTCCAAATTTACTTTAAATAGTTCAATTATTTAAAAGAAAACAGTTGATTATTGTAGAAAGTAATGCGTTGCGTTACTGTTTGTAGATACAACATGTTGTGGTACAAAACGTCACGAAGAACGATACGGCTATTCAGTATATTACTTTACAGAGGTTTTGTGCCTTGTACATTAACCGCTGGCAAAATGTACGTATTATCGATGGCGAATTATACTTCGGTAAGAATAGCTATTTTCAATTCAACAAATATTGTAGATAACATTATATAGTACTGTGGAGAATATAATTATTTTGAATTTTAAGATGGTGCAGGCAGCTATATCGTATTTCACCGCCCTTTCGTCCTTCAGATAATTTATGATAAAAAGAAAGGAAGGAAAATTGTTAGATAATAATAAAATTAGTAATTTTTGATTTTCCAACGATATAAAAATATCCAACGATATAAACGATATAAAATTCTAATTTTAATTAATTTTTTATTCTATTGCGTAACAATGATAAATGAAAATCAATAAAAATTGATAAGAATTATATATGAAGTGAAGACTTCGTGTGAAACGTATTGTAAATTAATTTTTCTGTTTGTATGTTAATAAAAATTCAAAGAAAATTGTTATCATTATAACATAATTGTTATAATTTTTACATAAAAATCTAATCTATTATATCAATTGACGATTTTATCGTCAAAAAGTTATTTATATAAAGTTATTTATATAATATAAATGTAACTCTTGTAAAAACGTTGCGTATATTTTCTGACTTTTTTAACTCTATAACAAAAAATGGCTGACGCAAGAAATTATTAAGAAATTTTAACATCTTGTAATCTCCAAGTTTCTAGTGATGTGTGTTCAGTGTGTTTATGAAAATACAACATTATGATAAGAAACTAATTTGTGAATAACAAATGAGAGATATTACATTTATTAATCAACAACCGTTAATAACAATAAAGACAACAGTTATCAAAAAGTCATAAAAACAGTTATAACAAAAACAGTTATTAAAAAATTCTGCTTCAACTTTCATAGTTTGAAAACGCATAAGAACTGATTTAAAGATTTAATTCAAGAAGTTGTGAAGAGGAAGGTGTATGACAAGATTTTATATCAAAGAACTATTATCAAAAAATTAGAAAAAAATCTGATAAATAAATAATAAATACAAGGATTCATAAAAACCATACTATATAAAAATCATTTATATCGGTAGTTTATTTCCATCGAGTACCGTTGAATGTGCGTGCATCGGACACATAAATGCATTGTGTGAAATTACAGGAGATGTGAACGTTTATTCGATCATTTGCAAAAGATAGCTTTTAATCAATATTATTAGGATTCGATTTTGTTTAGCTGAATTTTCCTTTTTTGAGAGAAGAATCGCAGATGAGTAATTAATACCGTTTTCTTTTGTTTGCTTTAGTGCATCACTTAAGTGCACATTAAAGCTGTTGTACACTGATTTAAATTGTGTAAAAATAAAATTCATATATTTCGAATTATAAAATACAGATTTTAACAGCACAATAAAATGTATTGAGGATTAAAATGTATTCATGATTTAATTCGTTTTTGTACGTAATAAATGATTTTTGTGTAAAAAGAATTGATATCATTGTAAGAAGAGATTGAAAGAACATCCTCGTTGTGAGCCAATCGAACATGTAAAAACAGTTTAATAATAACGGAGATAAAATCAAAAAGTAATTAAATTATTCATTCAATTACATTTTTGCGCTCATGCGTCTTTTGAAATGGCTAGATTTTAGCTGCACCAACTGATATTGATCGTCGAAAGAAGCGACATGAGAAGACTAATCCTTAGAGCAACGAGAATATATTGGTTTAAATGAAGTCTGAGTTTTGAATCTGTTGATTTTTCTGAGAATGAGAAATGTCGATCATAGGATTTTTGTAATCGAATGAGCTCATTTATTAAGATTTTCGACTACTCATCATGAATCTTCGGATTGACGATGAAAAAGTGAGAAATACACGTAATGAAAACTCTGGTAAAATATATTGAAATAATATATCTTTATTAACATAATATTTGTTTAATAGAATATATTTGTAAAATTATAAAATATATTGAAAACTCTTTATTTCGGAATGGAATAAAATCATATTATTTATCTCACTTCAATAGCTGTCATATAGCTTGTTTCCTTTATAAATATAATTTAATTTCAAATATATAGTCATTTATTAATTACCGGAACACAAGGAGAGTTTTCGGTAAATTTTATAAATCTATTTTGTTAACTGTTTTATGAAATATTTATTAAAAAATACATTTTAATATAGTTTACAACAATTTTTTTCTGTATGTATTTTTCTCGCTTCTGACGTTACAATCCATAATGATAGCAATGAGTATGCAGGAAATATTGCAAAACATCAAGTCATAATAATGTCAGATGATATTAAAATGAATCATGATTAAAAAAGTATCTTTTTAGTGATCATTTTGGAGTTATTTTAATATCATAAGAATTTGTGTTTTGTTTGTGGAGTAAAGTTAAAAAAAAATCATCCTCGAATATTTATTTCCTCGAGTACCGTTGAATGTACGTGCATTGGACGCATAATATAAATGCATGATTGAAATTACAAGAGATGTTGAATCGGTGTGAATGTTCATTCGATCATTTGTAAAAGATAGCTTTTAATCAATATTATTAGGATTCGATTTTGTTTAGCTGAAGTTTCCTTTTTTGAGAGAAGAATCGCAGATGAGTAATTTTCTTTTGGTTGCTTTAGTGCACCACTTAAGTGCACATTAAAGTACTGTTGTACACTGATTTAAATTGTGTAAAAATAAAATTCATATATTTCGAATTATAAAATACAGATTTTAACAGCACAATAAAATGTATTGAGGATTTCATAATTTAATTCGTTTTTATACTTACATTAAACATACATCTTTACAATTTGTGTACGACTTTAACATGCACTCATCAGTGTGCACTATAATGCAGCCGAGAGAAAACGCTATAAAATATGTGAAAAATCACAAAGTTAAGTTTATATAAGCAGAACAATTGAAAGCTGTTGACATTAAAATAGTCAAAATGATAATTAAAAGTCACTTTTATCAGAGTCACAATTCATTTTGATTTAATGTAACCTTTGATCTGTTCGGGCATTTAATTCAGACGGCTGATGCAATCAAACATAATTAGCGAGGATGTGCGAATGTACTCATAAAATGCGAAACGCGTCTATGTTCTTTCACTGATATATCGAAATGCGTCATATTCATCGTTCTGATAATTCGGAATCTAAAGCCACTAAAGTTAATAATTAAATTAGAAAAGCAATTAGCCGTATCAGAAAATTTGAATTTTGATTGTTCAAATCATATTGAGACGTTATATTCATGCTTATCTCATGTAGTCGAGTTTTGCAAAATCGCAATCTTTAGATAACTTTGTCCGATCAAATATTATAAATATATATTATAATGTTATTTGTCGAAATCGAAAGTATTATCACGCTTGTTAATTTTTGTTTAGAATTGCGAATTATCTTATCCTCTTCATGTATGTATTACAATGATTGTAAAGATAGATGCTTGCATATTCCTTGCGAATTTCTTCTGCATATATTTTCATATATTTTAATAGTAAACTCATACTTTTTGCGTCGTAGGTAGACCCTTCATGTTTTGAAGGACGTTCTGAATTCCATAGAAAAATTGAGATATTCTTAAGAGGTAAATCAAAAGATATTTTGAATATGTATCGATTTTAAAAATATTTCGAAAATAATAAATTTTTTTATTTATAACAATAAATCATCCCTTTATATTTTGTTAAGAATAATTCTTTTTTTTTACGGACATATCGAAAAGGATTATGATATGCGGTAGATACGAATCTTTACAGATACGATTTTACCAGAAATGCAACTTTTAAAACAGGATGTACATATCTTTAAAGATATCTTTCGAAGAAGTTTCGTGAAGTTTCAAAAAGTTCTACCACTTTAATGTCGACATTGCTTATATTACAAATTACGATTACTATATTTCGCTGGGTTTATTTCCGCTGGGGAAAATAGCTCTCCCCCAGGAAAAGCTTTTTTTCTGCCTCGAGAAGACAATCTCTTTTCTTTTCGTATGAAACCATTCGCTTCAGAGTCTAGATTCCTGAAAAATATTACAGACGAAAATATACGGAAATACATAATAGTATACGTTTCGTATATTAGAAACTTTCCTTGTTTTCGTATGAGATATTTTTCAAGAACAGGCCCCTAAATCCAGATCGAAGTTGGTTTAAGGAGGTACGATATTTCAAAATAATACAAAAATTATGAAGATATTACAAATTATTCTAAATTTCATATAAAATAATACAAAAAATTTTTAATGATGGTTTATCATCTGAATCAAAAGTTCTTTTAAGAAATAGTATTTAAAAAAATCTTTGCTCTAATAGAGATATATGGAAATATATTATAAAATAACAAAATTTCAGTTTTTTTATATTTAAACAATAATAAGATTGGAAGTAAGATTTATTAGATACATTACTTTAAATACGAAGTGCCACCGGTCTGAATGTTAAGATATTGAACTATTATATATATTCATTTAAATGAATTAATTTCAGACATTATAATTATAATTATAATCCAGGTTTGACTCCCGTTTGAGGCAATATTTTTCGTAATGAGTTTAGTATAATTTTTTAAGATTAAATTTGGGAAATTTGGGGGGATTACTAATATTTCAGATTGATTGCGTTGAAAGTCCGACAACCATATCGGCAAGGAATTATAATTTCTGAAATTAATTCATTTAAATGAATATATAATAATTCAACATCTTAACGTTCAAACCGTAATAGCGCTTCATATTTAAAATAATGAATATTTAAAATAATTTAGGCCCGATTGCACCAACTTTGATTTTAAGCAAGATTCAAAACTCTCTCTGTCTCTTTTTGGCTTTAAAACGAGATAGATAGAGTTTTAGTGCAACTGGATCTTAGACTATTGTTACTATTTTTTTAATTTTAGTTTATAAAAATATCAACAAATAAAGTAAAGTATAAGAAATGTATTCAATAAAAATAGAATAATATTATAAATATAATTTTTATATGTATATATAATTTATTTAAATTTAAAATATGATATTGATATATATCTGTACTATATATGTCTATTGAACTTCCTTAATCATAGACCCCTGGAATTATCCCGTCTGGCCGCGATAACATTACCGCGAAATGTCTCAAGGACCGACACGACGACGACGGCGGTGGCGGTGGCGACGGCGGCGGCGGTGATGGTGGTGGAGGTGGAGGTGGAGGATGGTCCGGCACTCGAGGAAGCCGGGACAGCCACGGCGCCGACGCCTGGTTTGATTCCGACCAGCGGCCCGGTCGATAGCACCACGGCAACCCCCGGGTC